CCACTGGTAAAACCGTTGACCTCTGAGGCACAGCTCCTACACCCAGGCTGTCACCTGGCCGATGGCCGCTTGATACAAGTGAGTTGCAGAGAGATGTTCCCCTTCACAATTTAGGTCGGGAATCTCTTCCGGCTACCCTCACACTGGTTAGCCGTCAGGCCGATGCCTTTGGCCGGGTTGTAGTCATTGCAGTCGGCTGAAGACCGTGAACCAGTATAGTTCCGCATCCTGAGTAAAGCAGGTACTACCACTGACACTAAACCCCATACATGGGAAAGTGCTCAAATTTCCTCTTGAGTCACATGCGTTATGTAAGAGAGAGCGGAGTCGCGAACGCGCACAGCCTCTCTTGGGCCAGCCTCTCCTTTCAGGACTCTGCTGTCACTTTACTGGGATTAATCCTTATTATATATATATATATATATATATAATCACTAGAAAAATAGCCATTTTGTTTCAACACTACAAGGCTTGATAAGACACTAGTAGGGTTGAAACAAAATGGCTATTTTTGTAGTGATTTTATAACATACTAGCAGTAGAGCCCGGCGTTGCCCGGGAATGTAACAGTAAGAGATAGATCAAGTATCGACCATCATAAAGACTGAAAAATAAAATTGACAAAGATTATTGTTTAAGGTTGACGGACACGCATGTCTTAATTAGTTTTTTGTTTTGTTTTTTTTACGAATTGGTCAAACCCAAACTCAAACAAAAACATTGTTTTCAATCGTTATGATTGAATAGAATTTTATTATAAACAATTGTCTTGTAAATGGAATTTTTAAAGCATTCTGAATATAAAAATAAAGAAAAAAGTGTGCAAGACAATAAGAAACACTACCTGCCAAAAAAGTTTTGTTGAAATCGGTTGAAAAATGTAGGAAATCCGATCCCATATATAAACGAACACACACACAAACACACACACACACACACAAACAACCTGGGTTTTATAATAAGTATAACTCGATATAAGTGGTCCCGCTTTCATTCTGGCGACAGAATCTTGTTTTATCGTGTTTTCAAATTGATTTCGTGCAAAAACAATTGTTTTTCCAATTTTTGGCACTGTCAGAACCACCGCAAGGTAATTTTACGCAGTCCTGTGAAGTTTTGTTGAAATCGGTTGAAAAATGTAGGAAATCCGATCCAATATATAAACGAATACACACACACACACACACACACACACACACAATCTGCGTTTTATAATAAGTAAGATTTATCTTATAATTTTCGAATAAATTATATTTGCTCTACTCTGTATTGAGCACTCTTTTAAGAATTGTATGTTTTGGTTATTGGAATTTATTCCGTATACACCAATCCTATACTTGTATTTGTGTATATATATATATGTATGTGTGTGTGTGTGTGTGTTTAATAAATATATGTGTGTATGTGTATGTGCGTGTGTGTAATAAAAATATAGTTTTAAGGTGTGCTATGTTTATTGTTTCAAGTGCTCAATATCAGGGATAGAACGTATGTAGATATTGGTGTCAACACCTAGCGCTGACAGTGTGTTTCATGTTTAAATTCAATCTTGAGGTCATGCGTGTTGTGTTGACCTTGTGTGACCAACATATATAAATAGTCGAGCCAAAGCAACACAGATGGTTTACGCATGAAACAGACTGTCGCCGTTGGATGTGGGATTCAAGGTCCACTTTTATATACACGTCCTGAAGATTGGACGGACAGATCCGCCTACGAAAATCTCTGGAGTCGGGATGCTGAAGGTAATATCAATCAGCTAAGTAACAAATTTTACTCATATTAATTCTCTCTCTCTCTCTCTCTCTCTTCTTATATATATATATATATATATATATATATATATATACACGCACACACACGCATATATATATATATATAGTAGAATGGCATATATATATATATATATATAGTAGAATGGCAATATGGAAAAATAAAATTCTGTGTCTGTTTCGAGCTTTGAAAGGCGATCTTCATATAAATAATGTTTATTTTTTATTGATCGAATCTTATATATATATATATAAAAAATCGACACCGCTAATATATATATATATATATATATATATATATATATATATATATATATATATATATATATTTTTTTGCGGTGTTGATTTTTTATATATATCTCACATTGCAGAAGCACCAATGTATGTTTATTCATTTTTAAATATTGGAAATTTTCTACCCCAAAGTAGATGTTAATTAACTTAACGCAGGATGATTTGGCGTCTAGATTACTAAAATGTAACAATTAGCAAATTTCTTGTTTTTTTTTATTTGTTTTTTTTTTTATGTGTGTAAAGACATTGGCCGAAAAAATGTCATTGAAAATTGAGGTCATGTTTTGTTTTGTTTTTTCAAAATATAAAACATAAAAAAATAAACATTTAAAAGTTAAAAGATTTATAAAGCCTAAAGCCGATAGAAATTAATGTTCCTAATTGGATTACCGCACCTTCAGGGTCCCAGCATTCTCGTCTTGTGAAAAATACAAAATACATTACGGCATTCACCCAACATCATATTAGAGTTATTTACAAAGAACATAAAACAATTTTGATTTCCTTTCGAATTCTTAAGTTATTAGAAATTCAAAGAGAAATTATTAGCTTTCATTTATACAACTTATTTATTTATTTATACAGCTTACTCATTTATTTATACAGCTTACCCATTTATTTATACAGCTCACTCATTGATTTATTGATTTATGCAATTTATCTATTTATTTATACAGCTTACTCATTGATTCATTTATTTATACAACTTATTTATTTATTTATACAGCTTTCTCATTTATTTATACAGCTTACCCATTTATTTATTTATACAACTTACTCATTTATTTATTTATACAGCTTACTCATTTATTTATACAGCTTACCCATTTATTTATTTATTTATACAGCTTACTCATTTATCTATACGGCTTTATTTATTTATTTATACAGCTTACTCATTTATTTATACAGCTTACCCATTTATTTATTTATACAACTTACTCATTGATTTATTTATATATACAATTTATCTATTTATTTATACAGCTTACTCATTGATTCATTTATTTATACAACTTATTTATTTATTTATACAGCTGACTCATTTATTCATACAGCTTACCTATTTATTTATTTATACAACTTACTCATTTATTTATTTATACAGCTTACTCATTTATCTATACGGCTTTATATATTTATTTATACAACTTACATATTCATTTTTTATACAGCTTACTCGTTTATTTATTCAGCTTACTCATTCATTTATTTATTTATTTATTTATACACTTTATTTATTTATTTATACAGCTTACTCATTAATTTATTTATACAACTTACTTATACATCTTAATCATTTATTTTTACAGCTTACTCATTTATTTATACAGCTTATTTATTAATTTATACAACTTACACAATTATTTTTATACAGCTTACTCATTTATTTATACAGCTTACACATTTATTTAGACAGCTTAGTCATTGATTTATTTTTCGGCTTACTGATTTATTTATTTATACACGTTATTTTTTTTTTTTTTATTTATACAGCTTATTCATATATTTATTTTTTACTTATTCGTTTATTTATTTATACAGTCAGTCAGTTATGAGATTTTAACTGTGGTCATCGGGATGTCTCTTAAAAACTGAGGAAATTATTTTAAAAATTCGTTAGAACCAAAGAAAAAAGTCAGTCATGTGTGCCATGCGTGATACACGCTTAGGCGATCATGTATCTTTCGATACATAACTGACGAGACAGATTTTTTCCCGCTGTAGGTTGTCATTTCTTTTTGCGGTAGACCAGGCTATAGAACCCGGTCTATCTTGCTATTTACCTATAGATGGGTGGGGAGAAGAGGATTCATAACTTTCTCAAGGGTATTAGCACGTAAGTGAATGTAATCGATTTGACTGGAATTCGAACTCGGCTCTCCGATTCCTCAATCCGAGCCGCAACTCATTTATTATTTACTGTTCTTAGATTAAATGATTTTAAGTACTCATTTTTACTGGTTTTTCATTCACCATAGATATAATTATTTACTAAGGATAGCTTTGATGTGGCACAAGGCCGAAAATATGGGGGCGCCCAGTGAGGATTGAACTCACTACTCAGTTTTAATTGATCTATTTTATCATAAATATATAAAACATATCATGAGTCTTATTTAAATTTCTAACATAATTTGGGGGGGGGCATCAAAAACATTTCTGGTTGGAACTGCAGTTTCTCTGGGTAGAACTGGTTGAAAGTTTAAAGTCTTCAGGAAAATAGAAGTTATGTAATTCCTCTGTAAATATTATTATTAGTATGAATAAAGACAGAAAGTAAACTTTTCTTTACCAACGCGTTTCGTCTTCTGGTGGCCTTTATCATTGTTAGTGAACTTTACTTTATTCATATCATTTTTCCGCAGATATATTTTATTTTTAAGCACACACATGCATACACATACGTATATGTATATATGTGGGGGGGGGCGTGTGTGTACATATATACACATATTAATTGATTATAAATCTAGTTATAAAATATTAGTTTTTATGTATGTATATATGGAGATAAATTATGTGGGAAGAGGGCTTGTGTCTGAGTATGTATGTGTGTGTGTGTGTGTGTGTGTGTGCATGCAAGTCATTTATAAAAAGTAGGTGAGACTGCATATATTAAGACATTGACATTAACATCTCATTCAGTGGCAAAAAAATGTTTGATTTGACTGATTTGTTTTTTTACGGCTTATCAACATTTTGCAGGTTATTTAAAGCCAGAAAATATTTTTGATTGTAGGAATTAAAAAGAAATAATAATAATGGTTTAGTGATACATGTCTTACTTGTTAACCCATAGCTAGGGTAAAAGAAGTGGATTCATACCTTTTCCAAGGGCCTTTCCGCGTAAGTGAATATAACGAACCCAATGGGAATTGGAACTCAGCTCGCCAATTAACAATTACTCATTACACCACCCGCACATCCAAGCTTACAGCACCTAGTATTCCTAAACGGTCACCCATCTAGCTACTGACCAGGCTCGACGCTGCTTAACTTCGTTGATCGTAAGGGAACCAATGTTTCAGCTTAATGTGGCCTTAAGCTACAAATGGGCAGAGACTGGATTCCGTTAGTGATCAATACCTTGCAAATATTTTTCTTCTGCTTCATTTTGTAACGATTATAGCGAACATCGAATTCTTTGAAACCTCTGAATAAATTCTTATGTTTATTTTTGGTTGGCTTCGGACACTTCCAAATTAGCTCGTGGCTGTTCGGACTGGCATCTTTTAGATTGGCACATGGAGTTCAGCTTATTTATTTTGGAATTAATTCAGAATTGAACTTTGTAGCGCATTGGCGAGGAAGCTCTTCTTGCAGAATATTTTATCAAATGCTTCTCATTTCCACACCTTTTTGATTTGTAAAAGATTATTAGTTTGAATTCATCGCGATAGACAATTCTTCTGTAAAAAAAAAAAACAATTCGATAAACATGACCTTCGTGCCTGCAAAACAAAAAACAAAAAAAAACAGTGTTTCAAAAGGACAGATTTTCGGTTGGCACCGCTATTTTTTTAACTACGTTCACTCCCTTGGCAATGTTTATCTACAAGATTATAAAGAGTAGCTAAAATTAGCAATTAGTCGATGTTTTAAAACATATTTTATTGTCGATGGTTTACATATTTTGATAACTTTGTATGTTTTTTTTAAATTTTAAAATAAAAAGATTTATTTTCAAATTTATTTCTTTATAAAATGGTAAATAATAATTATTTATAAACGATAAATAATTTTGTTATGATCTTGTAAATAAATATGCTGAGTGGGTGAACGTAGGGACAATAATAGCGGTCTCCTTTTGAAACACTGTTTTTTGCGGATATGATGAAACTAACTAAGCCTTCTTCATTTTTCCTTGGCATTTTCTAATGCTCAGGGATGAAGTAATATTATTATCATTTGAGATATCCAGTATAATATCCCCATCTATTTTGCTTTGAGGACAAAATGTCTAAGTCAGTTGAATTTAATGTGTGTGTGTGTGTGTGTGTGTGTGTGTGTGTGTGTGTGTGTGTGTGTGTGTGTGTGTGTGTGTGTGTGTGTGTGTGTGTGTGTGTGTGTGTGTGTGTGTGTGTGTGTGTGTGTGTGTGTGTGTGTGTAAAAAATATATAGAAAATAGGAAAGAACTTGTTAGGTAAATGATACAAAGTTCTTTAGTATTTTTGTTATCATTTTTAAAAAATAGTGCTCGATACAAAAGTAGAGCATAAATATAATTATTTATTTAAAAATATGATTCCAACGCTACATAAGAGTTCTCATGTTTCAAAACAAGAGCCGAAAACTTCAATATAATTATTTAAATTAAATTGAATTAAAGTACTAAGCTCTGTTCCATCTTCAAGCGAATTTTTTTTGGAATAACTTATTCCTGAAATTTACGCGTTTTATAAGCATATTCATAATTGAAATTAAAATTACTATGGTAACAGCTAGAGCAATTGTTTAAAGAAAAGGGGCGTAAGGCTTAATAATTTGTATTAATATCTTTAATAAATGTTATGCTTAAGTCAGAAGAAGTGACTAGAGAAAATTCAGAGAAAAAAATTATTATTTGAGTTTTGGGAAACGCCACGATCAAATGGCACAATTCGCTTTCTTACCTTCATTTATTGATATAAATGAAAGAGAAAAACAGACAACAATAATAAAGCGACAATTAAATTTATATAAAATGGACAATATGTGTAAAATTCTCATCGCCCGAAAAAACAAAAGTTTAATTTATATCAATCTTTATTCAAAGCAAACACTTTTTTCTGCATTTTAAATTTTACTCTAGATTCAAAAACATCGAATAAATTCAATGATCTGCAACCGCCTTCCTCTTAAATGTACCGCGAAATATTGTCACGGTATAAACACACACACACACACACACACACTCGTGTGGGGGTGGGGGTGTTTCTACAGCGTTAGTATATGAATAAGTAAGATTTAACTTTTTCAAATAATTCTTTTTACTATTCTTTGACTATATTATTCTAAATACTTTGTTTTAAGATTCATTTTTTTTTAATGTACTTTATTTTTTAATCTAACTTTTAAAAATCTTCCTGTATTTGAATAAATGAATACTAACCTTCTTTCATATAATTGTATTCAACATGCTTTGTTTAATTCAAAATTTTTTAAAAGTTATATTGAATAATTAATTACTGTTGAAGTTTCCGATATGCAGGATTGAGAATTTGATTTTCCAATTTTTCAAGTATATTACTCTGAAAAGTGTACCATGATATTTTCATTTTCAGGTGTGCCATTGCTTTAAAAACGTTGAGAAACACTAAAATAAATAATCGGTCAATGTCAGTCAAGTTATATCTTTTTAGTTACTGGGTAAAGGGAGATAATTAGAATTGCATTAGATGAACAAGAATTTTCAAAAAACTTACGAAATATTTGTTTAATAAATAAAATACTTTTTATTTAGTCTCTTTTTTTGCAGATTCTAACAGATTCAATTTCTGTGGTTTGTTTTCCTTTTTTTTTTTTTTTTTTTTATTTTTTACCATATAAGTTTTAAAAAGCATATAAACATTCCTCTTATTTTGGGCTGTCAGCGATTCTATCTTATTAGAATCAATAAATAAATGCCACGGCTATGAAAAAAAAAAAAAAGCTTTATTTCACCCGACTCCCAGTCTAGAAAAGTTTGACAAGAAATAAAAATTCGAGGAACGTTTAAAATCATCGCGATTTACTATGTAAGGGAAATTACTCATTTAAAATAATTAAGAGTGCTCTCCCTTGATGATTTTAAATTCTTTTCGTTTTAAGATTTTCTATGATTGGTGTACTGCAGTGTTGAACGTGAACTATTATCAGCCAATGAGATTCAGAAGATTTTTTTTCAGAAGATCCACTTTAAACAGTAAAGAAAAATTAGCACATAATAATGATATTGCACATTTAATACTTCTAGTACACCTCTTATGTCCAACTGAAACTTTAGTAGAGATTTCTCGATTTCTAGAGACGTTGACATTAATTTCATTGTTTAAAATAACAGATATATCAACTAAAACGCGTGCACCCTCGAAAAATAACGTTCAGCAATAAGAAATTATGATGGATTTTTTTTTTAATTACTTTATATATATATATATATATATATATATATATATATATATATGGATAAAATCCGATATATTTCTAATTTATTTGTTTAAACATTATTTTTTTTAAATGGTACTTATTTAATCTATTTCTTTAAAAATGTCTTTTTTTACGTTAGGATACGAAATGGAGCATATGTGTATATTTCAAGAATCGGGAAAATATGTCTTCAAAAGCCCTATTCTGGCCTAGTTTGATCAGGTGGTCCTACGTGGCTGAGCGATCTAAGGCACGTTAGATCTTATGACGGTTTCCCCCCAGGGAATACCGGTTCGAATCCAATTGGCGATCACGTATATTTCAAAGATGTCTCGAATATTCAGATTAGTAGAAATATACTGTTTAATAAATAAATAAAAAAGAGCATCTGCTCAAATATGAGTTTCTATTTAAAAAAATAACATTTAAACAAATTAGAAAATATATATACACTAAAAATATTTATGAAAGGTAAAAATCAAGCAGTTACCCAATTCAAACGAAATTATTAGTAGGCCTACTTATTCCTTAATGAATAAATTGTATACGGAATCAATCATTTTATTAGAAAACTTTGTGAGAACATTGCTTTACCGTCAGCTTCATACACGCTTTTTTGATATCTCAAGTCTACTTTTCAATTTGCGGGTGTCACGAAATTTTTGTACAGTTATATAAAGAAAAATCCCATAAGATGTTATTTCAGTAAATGATTTCTTCAACATCAAGTGTTAACACATGGGAGAAATACACCAAAAAATAATTCAATAAAACTCAAAAAATAATCCTAGGCGTTTTGATGCATGTATCATTTAATAAAACGTTATTTTCTTTCAAATCGGACAGAAAAAAAAATCTACACTGAATATTTCTTTTTTTTAATTACATTCTAATTTTTCAGTGCAATTTTTAAATTCATCTACTGTTCATTTGCTGTTTGTAACAAGAGTTTTTTTTTTTGTTTGTTTTTTTTTTTTTAGATATGTTGGAAGAATAAAAAATGTAAAATTTAATTCTATTTTCGAGTTATTGCAATATTTTGTTAAAGTTGTTAAACACAAATATATATCGATGCAATAGAAGAATTTTTCACGTTTATTTTATAGTCTTGGAACTTGGAAAGAGCTGTGGTGAGTACGAAATAATAATAATAATTGCTGTCACAGAAAATAGCCGTTGAGCCAAGTAGGAGGAAAAGAAAGTAGGGAGCCTATGCGAAATTCCTTTTGATATAAAATGAGGAGAAAAATTAATTTAATATAAGAAGATTGTCTGAAGTCATGTGAAAGGTTCCGTTTCTGTTCACTGCGTCCAGCGTTGAAGTTTTCGACATTGTCAAATGACTTGCCAATTATATCATCGGCCTTAACCAAACACGCGGCACTTCAAAGAATTTTCTTTCAACAATCCAAGAAAGCTAAGTATTTCAAACTATCTCTATTCGTCTACATTTGAATGTATGCAAACCATATATCACTTCGGTGAACAATGAACTCTCTTACGTTTGTTTTAAACCTTTTTAATATTATTTTGTGTCAAATGATTTAATCTGTTGTATGAACATTTCCTCTTCATGACAATTTGTTAAAACTACGGACTGAAAATTTTGATTTATTTTCCTGAAATGAGCTACTGACCCATTTTCAAGTATGTAAATTCGTAAATAAATGCCTTCTCATGTTTTATTAAAATTACCCATTAACATCCTTCATTAATCTTCTTGGCGGGGGTAAACCAACTGTTCATTTTAATCCCAAAGTCCAACGCTACTATAGAGCTTGGAGTTAGCTAATCCTCAACTCCTTAATCCTTCACCAGGGGTCTCTCTCCCCTGGTTATAAATACTAGCTGACCCTTCGCCTTGATCTCTCTTTTTCCCCAGGCCTTGGGCCGTTACCTCGCTTGGAGGTGAGGTAGTAATTCTTCT